ACAGGCACAGCACCCAGCGGGCCGGCGCCGCCATCCCGCCCCTCCGCCCCGGCCAGCGGCGCCCGGGGCAGGCGCGGCCCCGGCAGGCGCAGACGGCGCTGCGGGGAAAGCCGCGGACGGGGTGTCCTCCGCTTCTGGACAAGGAAAAAAAAAAAAAAAGGGAAAAAGCAGGGCGGAGGAAAGCGCCCCGGTCTAAACCGGCCGCCCTCCCTCCCTCCCTCCCTTCTTTCCCGGCGGGGAGCGAGGGGTTTTTATTCCCGGTCGCGCAGGTTGCTGTCGGGCAGAGGCGGCGGTGCTGCTCCCGACGCTCGTTCCCCGCTCCCCGGGCAGAGCCGGGCGTGAGCCGCCCGGTGCGGGTGTAACCGCGGCGATCGCCCCGCCCGCCCTCGCTCCGGCGGGGGCGAAGCGCGGGGAACCGCCACCCCCGGGGAGCGCGGAGACCGCACGGACGGAGGGGAGGGCAGGCTCTGCCAACTCCATCCCCCCGGGCGGACGGGGAACCAGGCGGGGGACGTTCCCCTGCCCGCCTCCAGCCAGCCCCTCCCAAAGGCCGTACGGTAACGCGATCGCCATAAAACAAAAATTCCGAGTCCCGCCGCACTCGCCCTTCTCCCTTGGAACGTCTCCCGGCTTGGCCGGGCGCAGAGCACAGTCCGCCGCGGGCAGGTGGAAGGGATGCTCCCCGGGCAGGTGGAAGGGATGCTCCCCGAGAGCTGTGCTGGGGCTCTGCTCGCCTCTCCAGAATACCAGGAGTACCAGCTCACACTCGGTGACCCTCGGCTTCCTTCTTTGTCACCCTCCAACCCAGACGGGGCTGGCATAGGTGTGCCCTGCAGCCTCGAGCCCACCGAGAGGGACACGCACCCAGGGAAATCCTGCACATGAGGACGATCCCACCCCAGCAGGGAACAGCAAGGTGTTCCTTACTCGGCTGGGACAATTCCCCGTGCCTCCTGCATGTGCTGCCTTTCAGCACCAAAAGAACAGAAATATCTTACTCCCCTTACCAATGCCACAACACCCCGTCAGATATGACACTGTCCCTTCCGAAATCCTCTTCACAACACAAAGGGTGCCTCACCTGCACATCTGCCTGAGAACGCAGGGGAGGTGGAAGAGGAGCCTCGTTAAATTGTCCCTGTTTATAAACGCATTGGTTTCTGAGCCAGAGAAGGGGAATAATAAGATCAGCCTGCAGATCAGTGCATGGAGCTTCGCACACAGTATTGCCAGCTGAGGCCACTCACATTTTCGACGTGCTACACAAAGTGTATCATTATCCAGCCCCAAATACAACACTGCAATACATTGGTTATTGCCCCTCAAATTACACTGGGTGGGAACGCCCAGCACCTCCCCCAGGGCGGGGAGTTCCACACTGGGTGACCGTGAACGGTGAGGTATTTTTGGAATCCTCGGTGGCCCATTAGCAGACGTGACCCCTCAGGCTGGGTGTGGAGGTGCTGGTGACTCCCCGGAGGGGTGTTATCACACCTGAGTCATTGGTGTGAGGACAGGAACATCCTTCTGTCTCACAGGCTTCTTAACACCCAGCTTATAGCCTGAGGGGCCAAGAGTGCTCTGGGCAGCTGCTGCAAACGGTCTGTTGTTACCAGTTCCTGGGAAGTGACATAGAGGGTGTAGAATACTTTGGGTTACACCCACACAGTGAGGAACTGGGACAACACACAACGTCAGCATCGATGCTAACAGTACAATTAACTGTACTTCTCACTTTCCTATGTCAGACATGGACATTAGGGCAATACAGAAAACAAACCGCCCAAGTGAACATTCATAATTAAAACATTAAGGCACGATTGATTTTTTTGAACACAAGTAATAAAACCAATGCAGGTCCCTGCAGAAAGAAAACAAAATTATTTGAACTGATAGCTACAAAAATCAGCACAAGCAGCAGTCTCTGGCTAATATCCATGGCTGAACTGTCAATCCCAAAGAAGGCTCTTTATGCATCTGAAATACTGGAATTGCCATTTCAAGCTTCAGTCACGTTATTTCCTACTGCCGAGAAAAGCAATATTAAAAAAAAAACCAACCAACAACACACCACAACTCCGTAAATAAAAGGGGCATAACTTGAATCCTCTTCTACACCTCCAGTACCAAACAATGTACTGCAAGAATATGATGTTTTGCCATCTCCAACACATCCTCTGAGCTGCGGCCTGATTCTGAGCACGACTTTAAAACACAAGCCCTCAGAGAGAGCACGGATTTAACACCATTCTCAAGCAAAGGGGGTTTAGTCAAGAGCTAACGTTAAGTTCATCGTGCAAGCTCAAGCACCCTATGGCTGAGCTTTTATTTAAAACTTTTCCAGTGTTAGCAGAAAGCCCCATTCATGCAAAATTAAATCCGAATTTGGCTCTCAGAGCCTCGCCCCACCACTTGACCGCGGTTGTTTAAATGTCTAAAATATAAAGTCAGCCCTGTACAACTCTGTTACAGCCCGAGAGGAGAGAGAAAGACGACTCTGGGAGTGAGGCAGAGAGGAAAGAGTCAGTTCTCGGGGCAGAAGAAGCCTTCTCTTGTCAGATGGCTGCTGTGTTTCCTAAGCATGAGCACAACACCACCTTTGCCTTATGGACTGTCCCAGTGACGTGGCAGGACACTCATCATACAGAGTTCTGCAGCTCCCAAAGCTTAAAAATACTCCCCTTATTGTGATATTTTTGAATGCCAGAGCCCTGTGAGCACAGAAGCCAAAGCAAAGCAAAGCAAAGCAGAGCACATGGGAAGTTCCTCTCCACAGCGAGTGACGGCTGACAAAGGCTCAGCCCTGACCTCTGAGGGAACAGTGCTTTGGCACCTCTCTGCTATTCATTCTCCACTTCTACACGAGTGCTGCAAACAACAGTTATCAACAGCTACCCTCCCTCCCAGCTACAGCCTGTGCAGCTCCAGGTGGGTCTGCAGGCCCTGCTTCCTCCCTGCTGGCCCAAGCATCTCCATGCTAGTGCAGTCCATCCCAATCCACCACGGAGTCTCCGACGGGTGAAGCAACCTGGCCTTTTAACACCTTAGCCACAGGCACACAGCAGGCTTCAATGTAAACCAAGTTCATTTAAGTGCTAAGCAACTCCTGTGCCATTGCCAGGGCCAGCCTCACCACCCTCCAGCAGTGCCTTCCGAACTGCTATTTAAAAAACCTCCACCAGAAACCTTCCAGGTTTGTGCTTTTTCAGAGCTTGCCACAAAACACGCAACCCGGTAACCTGGCAGTTATTTGTTCCCTTCACACGAGCACTCGGAAGTCCCAGGGAAGAGGAAACCACAAATACTCCTTCTAGGGGAAACGAAATAATTACTAATTTGCATAACAAAGTGATATTAGCAAAATCTGTTCGGCATGTGAAGACCAATCCCACATTTGTGCTCGCAGTTGCTTAGCTCTCGGCCTGTGCAGAATTCACTTACCAAAGCCATCTCTGCTGCTGTGGCTCCCACATCCCAGCTCTTCTGACTGTCATCTGGAGAATTCCCCCCTGCAGCTCTGCCTCGGCTGCCTTGCACCCCCTCTGCACATCTGCTCGGCTGCCTGAGATGGGCTTCTGTGCGCTCTGCTCTGGCAGGGCTCCTCACAACGAGTCTGAGTCAGTGCCACCAGCTCTGTCCCAGCAGTATGTTCCCAGCCCCACAAAGTCACCTTTTGGCCAGGCAGGGCAGGAGGGGAAGCCCAGAGCAAAGGCCCTTGTGTCCAGCCATTCCCTGTGTCCCCCAGGCTGGCTTTTCAGGGCTCACCAGCCAGGCTGGCTGTTTGCTCAGGTGGTCAGGAGCAGCAGCCTTCCCGCTGCAGGGGCCTTCCAGAAGAATTCCTTCTCTCGGGCCCCAGGATCACATGTTTCTCTCATCACAGAGAACTTGTGCTGTGGGATCTGTAATAACTCTGCCCAGAGCCGAGCTGAAATAAAACACCCCTCGAGTGAACAACAGCCAAAGAAGAGGAGCGACGCTCCCCTCCGTGCAGAGCCACGTTCTGCACACGCAGCTCATCTGCGTGGCCACGGTCTGTTCAGCACCTGGGCTTTTGTTTGCTTGGCAGTGGGAACTGGGCCTTGGCCTGCACTGCTTGTCCCTGCCTGCCTCGCAGAGAAGTGCCCAAAGGTCTTAGTCATCTGTAATCTGATTGCTGGATGTGGGCAATCAGAGTTAATGGGGCATATTCCTCAACTGCATCTTTCATTGATGGCCAAAAGGAGAACATCTAATGACTTTAGTGTTTTATACTAAATAGTAACAACTTTTCTGTGATTCTGCTGGTGGCTCATGATGGAGCAGTTCACCACCAATCTCATGCTACTTTCCAGCTTCATTCTGTGATCCAAAACAACCACCACAACAAGAGCAACCAAAGCTGATGCAAGACCAAAGATCCAGACTCCACATAAAAAGATCAAAACTATGATTGTGGAGGGGTGCTAAAGAAATATAAAAGACTACAAAACATATACAGGCCAATAAAATCTGTAGACCCTAACTCATGCACACAGTTCAGATGTGCTGGACAAACATCCACAGCTCTCTCCCCTGGCCCAAAGTCTCGAGATGCTCAGTATGGGTTCCCTTAGGGCAGCGTGCAAACTCTGTACCCGCAGTAAATGTCACAGTCGGTGGTGACACCAAAATCTCCTCTAAGGAGAGAATGGAGGCACTTCCATTCATCTTATATTTACAGAGAGCAATAATTTTGGGCTGGACAGTTTGCATTTGTTTTGCTAAAAAGCCACAGGGCATAAGAACACACGGGGGAAGCTTTCCTGTGGTTATCAGTCCTTGGAACACTTCTCTCCTGATTACCATGTGTTTGGCATGTCCACTCGTGTCTGCTCAGGGCTGAGCAGTGAGGCTGGAGAAGAACATCCTCTAAGACATGGATGATTTTTACATAAATACTGTATTTTCACTGATGAAATCTATGGATGAGCAGTGAAATGATTCATCACAAGGCCTTTCCTTACAAAGGAAGATTAACTGGCATCACACAGGAGAAAAGACCAATACGTGGCCCCAATAATCCAAAATAAGGGAAAACACAGCAATACTGAACAAGAGCCTTTAACTGAAACAGTTTTGTTTGTAATCAAACTACTTTCAGGTCTCTGCTGCAGCA